CACATACCTATTTTTAAAAAGGGAGACCCTAGTCTAGTAGAAAATTTACAGACCACTCTCACTGTGTTGCATCACCTGTAAAGTCATGGAATCAATTATAAACCAATCCATCACCCTACATTTAGAACAAACTTTCTAACAAGCAGTTTGGTTTCAGGAAAAATTTGTCCTATAATCTGCAACTCCTACACTGAAACACTTGGACCACACATCTAGACAAGGGTAAAGCAATAGATGCAATTTACATAGACTTCTGCAAAGCTTTTGATTTAGTGGTGCATGACAAACTACTACTGAAACTTAATTCTTGCGGCATCTCTGAACCCCTGCATAAGTGGATAGCCCTGTTCCTGTCAAACAGGCAACAAATGGTCAAAATAGGGAAGGCCCTATCTAATCCAGCACCAGTTAATAGCGATGTCTCCCAAGGCAGTGTCTTAGGACCCACACTCTTTCTGCTTTACATCAATGACCTATACGACAACATTAAAAGCAGCTGTGTTCTCTTTGCTGATGATGAAAAATTATTTAACACCACCGACAATGTTGCTGCCCTATAAAGCGACCTTGACTATGTGTCAGAATGGTCGCACAATTGGCAACTCCAAATTTCAACTAACAAATGCTTTGCCCTATACATTGGCAAAAAAAAAATCAGAATACCAAATACAAGTTAGGAGAAACGATCTCGTAGATGACCCTCACCTAGGAGTACTTATCTCAAACGATCTAAACCCCAGAGCTCACTGTAACAGCATTGCCAAAAAGGCTTTAATAGTTGTTAACCTAATTTTGCAAAGCTTCTTCTCCAGCAACATTCAATTGTTAACTAGGGCATACAAAGCCTTTGCCAGACCAATTCTCGAATATAGCTCATCCGCCTGGAACCCGCACTGTATATCGGGCATTAACACAATTGAGTGGGTTCAGAGGTATTTCTCGAGAAAAGTACTCCACTCCTCCACTCACAATAGAATTCCCTATGCCTCCAATCCAGGCTTGAAATTTTGGGCCTGGACAATCTAGAACTGCGCCACCTGCAGTCCGATCTAAGTATACTACACAAAATTGTCTGTTACAATGTCTTACCTGTCAATGACTTCTTCAGCCTCAGTCACAATATATGGGTAAACAACCACTCCAAACTCGATTGCAGAAAATATGACTTTAGCAACAGAGTGCTAAAGTGCCTTTTGGGGAGGGGCCTGGAATGCCCTATCTGACTCTGTTGTTATAGCCTCAACCCCTCACAGCTTCAACCTCAAACTGTCTACCGTGGACCTCACCCCATTTCTAAGAGGTCCTTAAAGGGGATGTGCATAAGTGCACCAGCGTGTGTATCATCCCTGTCTTACTGTCCCCATTTACTCCTTGTTCTTGTTTATTTACTCCTTGTTCTTGTTTATGTTCATACTTATACTTGGGTTATCTCGTACATGTTTGACAAACAAATAAAAATAAATTTTAAAAAATTCCTTACCCAGAGACAATGCCCCTATGGCTCTGGACACATAGAAAAAAGAGAACATGTGCTTCTCTAGTTCAGGTACAGAGATATTCATACTAGTCTTAGCTCACCATCACAGGTAGTCTTTGACTTAAAACAAATCCTTTAGTTGTTCAAAGTTACAACAGAGCCCCTCCCCAAAAGTTCCTTATGACCTATTTTCAAAGTTATGGCTGCTGCAGCACCCTTGCATTCACAACTGACTGCAGGGACACTATAGCATCTCCCCATGCTTTGTAATTTGATATTTATTTATTTATTTGATTTGTCAATTGCTTACAAGATAATAGGTATAAGTATATACATAGTTATGAATACATGAAATGGGTACATATAAGAAAAATAAAAGAAACAATAGGACAGGGATGGTAGGCACGTTGGTGCGCTTATCCACGCCCCCTAAAGACCTCTTAGGAAAGGGGTGAGGTCAATAGTAGACAGCCTAAGGTTGAAGTTTTTGGGGTTTGGGGAAGAAACTAGAGTCAGGTAGAGTATTCCAGACATTGACCACTCTGTTGCTGAAGTCGTATTTCCTGCAATCAAGTTTAGTGCGGTTAACCTTGAGTTTGTATCTGTTGTGTGCTCTTGTGTTGTTATGGTTGAAGTTGAAGTATTCATTGACAGGTAGGACATTGCAATGTATGATTTTATATACCATACTTAGATCAGACCGAAGATGGCGTAATTCAAGGTTTTCTAGGTCTAGAATTTCAAGTCTGGTGGCATAAGGTATTCTACAACGAGTAGAGGAGTGGAGAACTCTTCTTGTGAAATATTTCTGGACTTTCTCAATTGTGCTAATATCAGATACGTAATGTGGGTTCCAGACTGATGAGCTGTATTCGAGTATTGGTCTAGCAAATGTTTTGTATGCTCTAGTTAGTAGTGTGATATTACCAGAGAAAAAGCTACGTAGGATTAGGTTAACAACTCTTAATGTTTTTTTGGCTATGTAGTTACAGTGGGCTCTAGCACTTAGATCATCAGAGATGAGTATTCCAAGGTCCTTTACAGAGCTTGGATCATCAACAAGATCTTGACTATTCAGCTTGTATTTTATTTGCTGATTTTTTTTGCCAATATGTAAGACAGAGCATCTATTTGTTGAGATTTGACGTTGCCATTTGTTTGACCATTCTGATACATAGTCAAGATCTTTTTGAAGGGTAGCAGTGTTGTCTGTGGTATTGAACAGCTTTACATTATCAGCGAAAAAAACGCAGTTGCTCTTAATATGATCACAGAGGTCATTTATGTAGAATATGAAGAGAGTTGGTCCTAGAACACTGGCTTGGGGGACACCACTATTGACAGATACAGAATTTGATAGGACACTCCCAATTTTGACCATTTGTTGTCTGTTTGACAGGAATGCTTCTATCCAGTTATGCAGTTGTCCAAAGATACCATAAGATTTTAGTTTTAGGAGTAATTTGTCGTGTACCACTGAATCAAAGGCTTTCAGAAGTCTATGTAGATTGCATCTATTGCTTTGCCCTGATGTAGTCCATATATTTTTGCAGTGTAAGAGATGCAGATTACAGGATAGTTTTTTCCTGAAACCAAATTGTTTATTGGAGAGTAGGTTGTTTGTCTCTAAGTGGAGGATAATGGATTGGTTAATAATTGATTCCATGACTTTACAGGTGATGCAGCATAAGGAGATTGGTCTGTAATTTTCAGCTAGGCTGGGGTCTCCCTTTTTGAAGATGGGGATGATTGTGGCTTGTGACCATAGGCTAGGCAAGGAGCTGGTCCTGAAAGATTTTTCAAAGATTATGCTTAGAGGTTCTGCTATGGCCGTGGATAGCTTTTAATAGATAGGGATGGTTTTAGATTGCGTAGTGCTTTTTCAACATTGTCTTCTGTAAAATTGATATGTATTAGATCATTGTAGTTGTCTGTGGTTCAGCTAGGAAATACTGGGCATGATCCATTGCTGTTTACAAATACTGAGCCGAAGAATGTGTTAAAGATGTTGGCTTTAATGGTGTCGTCATTGCAGTCTTTACCATTAGGTCCTATCAGGGGTATAATCTTATAATATATAATCTATAATTATAATATATAATCTTCCATATATTAATCCCTTATGTTCTTCTATACCAAGGGTCTTCAAACTTGGCAAGTTTAAGACTTGTGGACTTCAACTCGCAGAATTCCTGAGCTAATATGACTGGACTGGAGGAGGAATTCTGGGGGTTGAAATTCACAAGCCTTAAAATTGTCAAATTTGAAGACCCCTGTTCTATACCCATCTAATGTTCGTTTAAATTTTTCAATTTATGTAACTTTGCTTCTCATAATTCTTTTTTAGAGTTACATTTTCATTCTTGATGTATCCTTTATGCTTTGTTAATGAGTATCCCATCTTCCTTATGCTGGTCTATAATCAAGATTCGATTTGATTTGATGTTACATCTGTTTTTTCTTATGAAGAAATATCCTTTTAGTCAGGAATCAGGCAATGTAGACTTATGTAGTCACAACATGAAACAATCTTTGTGCAGCATATCAAATGTTAAGCTTACATTTATTAAAGATGGTGTTGTGCTTCTTTATATTATAGTGCAAATGCAAATTACATTCCTTGAGCTAGGTATGTATTGTACAGAAATTTACAAGATCTTAAGTCTTAAGGTAATTGAGTACTTTACTAAATACATATAATCACATGTACAACTCCACACTTACTTTTAAGTGTTCAGAGTTTAAAATCACAAAATGTTTGAAGGAAGGACTGCATACCATTGCTTCTCAACCCTGGCAACTTTAAGATAGGTGGACTTCAACTCCTAGAATTCCCCAGCCAACACAGCTAGTTGTGCTGGCTGGGGAATTCTGGAAGTTGAAGCTCTTCCTTCTTAAAGCTGCCAAGGATGAGAAACACTAGTCAATATAGTTGTAGTTAGCCACAATTAAGATTTTAAAAATCTCAATTTTATTTTGTCTTGAAGACACAATTAGAATATTGACTATGATTTAAGAAAACAAGAAAAATGGAATTATAAGGTTTTCAAGCTGATGGGTTTTATATTAAACATCAAGACTATGTCCTAGAATGTGAGGCAGTAAGATTTAGCCCTTAAGCCTGCTGAGGAGACAAAAAACACCCTCCTGCTTATCAAGATTGAAAGAGTTGTCAAGATTCTGCAAAAATAAAGTAACTTCTCACAAATTGTGATGCTTACTTCTTTCTGTCACATTAAGTTCTGGATTTTACTTCCATTGCATTTTTATTGTTATTTCCACCTCCTTCCCTCCTTTTAATATGTTTATTAGTTTGTAAGTCAGCAATTCCCCATATCTTTTTTCTAAAATTGGGAATGTTACAGTACCTATCCAGTCACTGAAAACTCAGATCATCCTTCCCACTTTGGCAGTCAAAAAGATTTAAATGTGGTTATTCTCCAGCTTGTAACTGTTACCATCTGAATACCAGATGCTGTTTTAAGATAACTTTGAAGATTAAACAAATCACACTATTTTCCATTTTTTTATTTCTTTCCAAATTATAATACAAATAATGTTGGAACAGGAAAATGTTCCATTTTGTTTTAACATTTAAAAAACAACTTTTCCATACAGGTTATACAACTTTAGAACAGAAGGCAAAAACAAAACATTTATTAAGAAAAGTTAATATGAAATACTCCGTCTTCAAATAGGCTCACATTCTCCTCTTCTGTGTACTTATATATAACACTGTGTAAGAGGAAAAAATAATACATTAAACAAACTCATGATAGACTAACAATAATTACTGTAGCTATAGTTCACAAATTATTTATTACCACTGAGCAGGAATATAACAAGAAAAAATTAATTTTTGAGAGACAGAAGCCCAATTATGAAACTCTCCTATGCGATGGCCCTAACGTTGTCTTACAGTTTATTCCAGGCTTAGACTGTATCTAAAGTGCCTATTATTTTGTTTTCATTTTTTAAAAGAACTTTTTAAAAAATATTTTTAATTACTGCCATTAAAACATTGCTGGTTCTGTTAAGATTATTTTATTCAAGACTTTAAATAGGGAGTTTATTGTAAACATCTCAGGACTCCTTTGGTGATTATAGCCCAGCATAACAGGCAGAACTGTTTATTTTTATGGAAAAATGTTTTGTACTACTGAAAGAAACCATAACCTGCAGTCCCAAGACAGGATGTGATTTGGCCAATGGAAGTCTTTGCATGTGATTTGGCAGCACCAGGTTAAGGATGAAGAAGGGAGATAGGAAATATAGAAGTTTGTATCTTTTTCAAATTTATATATTTACTTAAAAAACAACCAAAATGACCTAACATGCTCATCAAATCTCTTTCTGCCATGTGAAGTAATTAAAAATTTCATTTTATTTATTACATTTTTATGCTGACCATCTCCCCTATAAGAAGATTCTGGGAAGCTTACAAGTTATAAACCAAGTAGAAAAATATTAAAACTACATAAAGCTTTTAAAACTATACTGAAACCAGGGAAGGGATTGGATGGAGATGAAGTCTTTTTAGCCTGTCAGCCACCTCCAGATGTAAAGGTTCTCAGGCCAACCAGCAAAGCCAAGTTTTAATACCCTTCTGGAAAGCCAAAAGAGTGGAAGCAGTTCCCACCTCTGGCAATAGGGTATCCCACGCGGATGAGGGCCATAATGGGAAAGGCTCTTTTTCCTCAAACCTGCCTGCCGGAATTCCTGCAGACAGGATCCATAGCAGGCTTCTTCCACTAGTGTGAGTGAGGCAGAGTAGTCCCATTGGGGAGAAATGGCTACTCAGATGGCCTGAATCTATACCATGTACGTTTTTTTTATGGTAACAACCAGCACCTTGAATTGGATTCAGAAGGAAACTTGTGCAGTCGCAAAGTTATATGTGCAGCCCTAGGCATTCCCACGGATTGTGTGTCACTGCATTCTGCACCAGCTGCAGTTTCTGAATACTCTTCAAGGGTAGACCCATGTAGAACATGTAATCCATCTCGGTAATCCAGCTGACATATGACTAGGGCATGACTGACCATGCAAAGGGCTTCATGATCCAGATAAGAGTGCAACTGAGACACAACACAGTTGAATAAAGACCTTCCGAGCGCAACTGTCACCTGCTCTTTGAGGAATTGTGAGTTCAGGAGGACCCCCAATGTTGTGTAATAGATCTTCTGGAGTAGCGGAACCCCACTCAGAATTAATTATGGTAAACTACTGGATTCTGATGTCTCTTTTGTATCCACAACAACTTGTGTCTTGCCTGGCTTCAACTATTGTTCCCCATCCAGTATTAACATGTTCCCACTGACATCTTCATCTTTTCCCATCCTTAAACTAACTGAAGTTGAACTTAAAGAAATCCCAATTTTCCTATTGATTTTCATTTTTCCAAATCTAAAAAAATAATGAAAATTTCATGAATCTTCTTGAACACTGAAACAAATCAACTTCCCAAAAGCTAGACAAATTGGAATTACGAAAGGAAACAAAGTTTTAAAAAGTAAACAGGAAAAAGTGCAGGGGTAAATATAAACACACACACACACACAAAACCACTCTTGCATATAATACATTATTCATTCAAAAGAATTTTAATACCAATAAAGTTTTAATTGGATAATTAAAAGCTAGTTTTTTAATAAACATACTTACCATTATTTCCTCTGATGAAGGCATCTCCATATTTATTTTTCAATTGTCCATTTACATACTCTTCTGTCTGTTCTAGAGCAATATTCATGTAGCCATCCAAGCAGGCTAGTACACCTAGAATTACAGCCATTCACATATTATAATGTAATCTTCCAAACCTAGTATTGTTCTAAAATTTAATCAGAGATATCGTTATACTATATACAACTAGTGAGAATGAAAGTTAGTTATGCACAACAGCCAGTCCACCTTTATCTATCTAATACAATGTAATAATAGTCTGCCAAAGAAATTAAGGATATTAAAATAAGAAAAGCTTAGTTACAAATAGTTAACACCATTACACCTGTCCATATCTTTTCACCTTTATAAACTATCCTTTATATTACGTCCTCACGTTAATTTATATACCACCTTTTGTTCTTTAAATTTCCTTTTTAAAAAGAATCTCACTTCTAATAAACTATTACTTTCTTGATTATGAGCCATTTCATCATCTTTTATATATGTTTTGCAATTCTATCCTCATGTATTTTTTCTATATGATCAAACTACCTCAAAATAATTATTTCATGCACATTTCTATTTACATTCAGCAGTTGCATTTTGGACCCTATCTAGTTTTATTTTACATCACTTATTTTTTAAATAATACATTTCAACTGCATTCATTTTAGCTTTCTCTTGAAATACACAGCTGTTACTGCCTTATTAACCAAGCAGGCAGAGCCACTTTGTTTCCTGACATTCATCAAATTTAATCAAAAATATATGAGAAATAGTATCACTTTCCCAGGCACACTAAACAAACGAATCCTCCACACGTTTTATTTTATTCTCAATTTATACTTGGAAGCCATCTTTTGACAAATTAAATACACAGGTACAGGTAGTCCTCAATTTAGAATCACAACTGAGACCCAAATTTCTTTTTTAAGTTGGGGTGGTTGCAAGTCAAGATAAAGAACATCATAATATATATAAAATGATTCACATGGATAAATTTTCCTTCTTCATTCACAATGTCACAACTCCTATAAACCTAGAATTCAATTTTGATTAAGAATTTTTCAAGAACAGGCTATTTATTTAAGGATGATTGCTATCTGTCTATTTCATTATTGAAAGAATACAAAAATCTATCACAGTTGGAAGATGAAGCAGGAAGAATATACCTCGGTAATCAACTCCAGAATTTAATTTTACAACAACTGGTCTTCCTATGATTTGCTTCAAGAAATCACTTGGAGTTTGTTTTCGTAGGCTCATTTTGGTATCTTACAAGTGCTCTATGGAAAAGCAGAAATAGGAATCTAATATTTGACAAAAACATAGCTAACTTTAAAAAAACCTTATATTTATAACTTCAGCATTAAAGTACTAGTCACCACACGAAAGCATTCTACTCAATATATCATCTAATATTTAAAGCAGTACTCTACATGTTGTCTTCATATCTGTTGAATACACAGCTAACTCTACAGCTGAAAACATTCAAAACTGTCAGGCAATTCTATATGCAATTTTTATACAGAATTATTTGATAATCAATATGTTCACTAAAAAACAACAACCCTCCAAACTTCAATATTTACATTTGATCTTGGTAGGTTTCCTAAAATAACATTAAAATGTATCCCTAAATAAATCCAAAGTCTGTGTGTGCAATTCCAGACCCATATAATTTAAGACTAAGACAAATTGAAATCACTTATATTTGACTAAGTTTGTATAGGAATGCCCTTTTTAATTCTAAATTCTGTGTTTAGCCAGGGGGCTAGTAAAAATGATATTTATTCTAAACATGTAAGGCAGAAGTGGGCAACCTCTTTATATTTAGGATCTACATGTTTTTTCAACCTTTAAGGGCCATAAGAGGTATAGCACTGACATCAGTTGAAATAATTAATACCTTACTGCTATGTCTCTTGGGATTCTTAAAAGACATTTTTAAAACAGCAGTAAGTATGCTAGAGATCTTGAAGTATCCTTTTTCTTCTTTAACAAAATTCCAGAATCATGCAGCCAAAACTCTGCATTTCACCATCTAATTATGATAGTGAAATTTTATAAACTTCTACGTGGCTTCAAAAATAACTGATCCGGTTCCCCGCCTCCTCCCCCACCCCACCCCACCCCCCAAAAAAAGGGTTACCATCCACAATGTACACAGTTAAAAGCTACAATATACTAGGATGCACTTGAATTCCTGGAGTCCCGCAATCCAATATTCCAGTTTATCCTTTTCCTCCAGCATATTCTTTGGCTCAGATTTTCTCCATTTCTAACCTACATTTTCTCCTTTTGGTTCCCGATCATACCAAAGCACCTGCCTCCTGTGTCAGCTGCCTTTTTTCAAAGCGTTTTGCAGCTTCTCCCAACGACGATTATTATTATATTGTGGAGGGAGGGTCGCCAGGCAAGAGAATGAAGATGCAAATATCTCCGAAGACAGAAAAATAGCAACAAAACTCCGTTTTTGCTGAGCAGCGTAAACGCAACCTGGAAGAACTTGAGCAGCGAAAGCCACCCGCCCCCCCGCTTCAGACCCGCTAATAAATGGGAAAATCGCGTTCAAAACGAGCCGCTTCTGCGCGCCGTGAAGGTTGCTTTGCACCCTTCCCGAAGGTGCCCGGCGGGAAGAGCGACGAAGCCTCTCCCGTCCCTTCTAAGCGCCCGACCGGCGTGCCCGAAAAAAGCGTCGGCGCCGAAAGCAAAGGAAGCAGGAGGAGAAAGGCGAAGCTCAGCGCCTGCGATCAAGGGCCGCCCTCGCCGCCATTCAGGAACTTGCGGAACCCACCTGAACCGCCCCCGCCATCTACTACAGTAGGGGTCTCCAACCGTGGCCACTTTAAGCCTGGCGGACTTCAACTCCCAGAATTCCCCAGCCAGTGTTACATACAGCCTTCGGTTCATGCCTTTCCCGCCCGCCTCCACTCACCCGCGCTTTTTCCACTTCTTTAATCAACTCAAGACAATCCTCCCGAACCAAGGATGATGGGCTGCTCCAAGGACCAATCAGGGCTTCCCAGATGTGTGCTTCCAGCTACGGTGGCCAAACGTGGCCAAAATCCTTCCCGCTTCTGTGTCTTGAAAGAGGTTTCCTGTTTGAGGTCGCAACGGGAAGCTTAACGCAGGACGTGGCTCCTGCTGTGCATTTTATGGAGCTTTTCTTCCTTCCCAATTAGCGTGCACGCATGGGGATCGGCGCAGGTTGTTCTATTAGAAAAGGCAACAAGCTAATTCACAGTTGTTTTATTTAATTCAGTGGATTGATTAGGTATGAGCTTCATGAAGTTAAAGTAGAAAGTAAGAGTTGCGGTTTTGTATTGTGCGCTTAAGATGCAAATATACTCAGATAATGTTACAGTTGATAACATAATTTGCTGATTTTACTAATTGGGGTGTCAACTGAGATCTTTATAGGTCCAGAAACAAACTGATTGAAATATCATGGAGTCTTTGTCCTTTCTTAGCAGCCATATAGATTCTCATGATGATATTCTGTAATCTGGTCTTGGTGCATTCCAATGATGCATTCCACCACTTACTTGCTTACTTACTTTATTTATTTATTTGTCAATTGCTTACAAGATAATAGGCATAAGTAAAAACATAGTTATGAATACATGGATACATATAAGAAAAATAAAAAATATATAAAAGAAACGATAGGACAGGGACGGTTGGCACGTTGGTGCACTTATGCACGCCCCCTACAGACCTTTTAGGAAAGGGGTGAAGTCAATAGTAGACCGTCTAAGGTTAAAGTTTTTGGGGTTTGGGGAAAAAACCAGAGTCAGGTAGAGTATTCCAAACATTGACCACTCTGTTGCTAAAGTCGTATTTCTTGCAATCAAGTTTGGTGCAATTAACCTTGAGTTTGTATCTATTGTTTGCTCTAGTGTTGTTATGGTTGAAGCTGAAGTATTCATTGACAGGTAGGACATTGCAATGTATGATTTTATATACGATACTTAGATCAGACCAAAGGCGGCATAGTTCTAAGTTTTCTAGGTCTAGAATTTCGAGTCTGGTGGCATAAGGTATTCTACAACGAGTAGAGGAGTGGAGAACTCTTCTTGTGAAATATTTCTGGATTTTCTCTACTGTGCTAATATCATATACGTAATGTGGGTTCCAGATTGATGAGCTGTATTCGAGTATTGGTCTAGCAAATGTTTTGCATGCTCTAGTTATTAGTGTAATATTACCAGAGAAAAAGCTGCATAGGATTAGGTTAACAACTCTTAACGCCTTTTTGGCTATGTAGTTACAGTGGGCTCTAGCACTTAGGTCACTTGAGATGAGTACTCCAAGATCCTTGACAGAGTTTGGATCATCAACAAGGTCTTGACTATTCAGTCTGTATTTTATTTTCTGATTTTTTTTTGCCATATGTAAGACAGAGCATTTATTTGTTGAGATTTGAAGTTGACATTTGTTTGACCATTCTGATACACAGTCGAGGTCTTTTTGAAGGGTAGCAGTATTGTCTGTGGTGTTGAATAGCTTTACATCATCAGCGAAGAGAACACAGTTGCTCTTGATATGATCACAGAGGTTATTTATGTATTTATATTACAGGGTCCATCTCTTTCCTTTTTCATCTTTTCCAGCGTTAGTGCCTTTTTCCAGATATCTGAATCGTAGCTTAATGCAGTTAAGTAATATAACCTGAATCTAGTCATTTGTGACTCAATTGAGAGCTCTGGTTGATTTATTCAATGCTCCACTAGCTGGTTCTCTTGTCTGAATGAATGAATTCTTTATTGACCAAGTGTGATTAGACACAAGGAATTTGTCTGTGGTGCATATGCTCTCAAGTTTACATAAAAAAGATACATTCCTCAAGAATCATAAGGAACAACACTTAATGATTGTCATAGGGTACAAATAAGCAATCAAATCATACTAGGGTACAAGCAACAAAGTTACAGTCAGGATGGGTGATAAGAGTCACGAGAAGATTAATAGTAATAGTAATGCAGATTTAGTAAATAGTTGGACAGCATTGAGGAAATTATTTGTTTAGCAGAGTGATGGTGTTTGCGAAAAAACGGTCCTTGTGTCTAGTTGTTCTGATGTGCAGTGCTCTGTAGCGTTGTTTTGAGGGAAGGAGTTGGAACAGTTTATGTCCGGGATGTGAGGGGTCTGTAGATATTTTCACAGCCCTCTTTTTGACTCATGCAGTATACAGGTCCTCAATGGAAGGCAGGTTGGTAGTAACTGTTTTTTCTGCAGTCCTAATTACCAGTTTGCTTCTGGTGTTAGGAGTCTTCCCCACTACCAAAATTCTCCTTCAGAAATCACCAGGAACTTTACTAGAAGCATGCAGCTTTTCACTAGAGAATAAACATTAAGATTAAAAAGTAATCTGAAAATGGGAAGAATTTTGACCTGCCTCATCCCTCCAACTGTCAACATTCTTGGGTACTCAATAGGTACAAAATATAATTACTATGGTCAATGCAAGTTACCAACGCCTGTACAAAGGGAGCTGCATGCAACCTGCAGCGGTGGGTTAAAAAATAGATGCTCAATTCTGTTATAAGGTCAGCATTGTCTTGGATACCCACCAACCCATCACATTTGACATTTATCAGGAAGAAGTTATATTTTCTGTTATGGTTTTCTTAGGTAATTGAATAAGTTTTTGGTGGCATCTATATACCACCAAACTATATACCAAAAGGAGGAGGAGGAGATACAAGTAAACATATCTTGATTGTTCTTAATTTTCAATTATCTGCATATGATTTGTTTTCTGTTACATAATGAGCTGTTCTTTTCATGTATCATCTGAATATCTTTCTTGTTTAATATACAACTTCCACTTTTTTAAAAATAGTTCCTTTGACAAGCAAAGCAGGAAGTCTACTCCAAGTGCTGATATGTCTATAAAGCATGCTTCCTAGAATAAGGGTGTCAAGGGTACACAAAAGAGACAAGCAGAAGGAAAGAGAAACAGAAATATACCTTTGGTATGATTAAAATTCTTTTTCGTCAAAGAAAATTAATCTTCAGATTGAGGACACAAATTTCTAGAAAGGTCTCTTGTATAAGCTGTATTGAAATGTTTTTCATCAGAGGAGCATAAAGTCATTGGAGGCAAGCATCTTCTAGTGACCTAGTTCAGTCCTTCCTTACAGCCACCTAATAGCCAAGTCTGCATGAGATCCCCAGTGCAGTATAAAGTCTTCCACTGTTTCCTATATTTAGGCATTATATCTCCTATGGAAATGTGCCCTCAGAACTGTCAGTTCTTCATCGAGAAGAGACTTTAAAGTTATTAGTAACCTTGTATAACAAGAACTTATATTTGTATGGGAACCTTGCCCCCTAAACAACTAAAACTTGTTGAATACCTTTCTGTAAAATAAGTTTTGGAAATTCTAATTAATGAAAATGCTACAAGTGAGTTCAATCTTACTTGTAAAGGACAGGAATAAACACGTGTGTAACACATATAAAATTGCATTAATTTAAAATATAAATACACTGTTCAAAAAAATAAAGGGAACACTTAAACAACACAATGTATCTCCAAGTCAATCACACTTCTGTGAAATCAAACTGTCCACTTGACAATCAATTTCACATGTGCAAAAGGAATAGACAACAGGTGGAAAGCATAAACACTTAGCAAGACATCCCCAATAAAGGAGTGGTTCTGCAGGTGGTGACCACAGACCACTTTTTAGTTCCTATGCTTTCTGGCTGATGGTTTGGTCACTTTTGAATGCTGGCAGTGCTTTCACTCTAGTGGTAGCATGAGATGGAGTCTACAACCCACACAAGCGGCTCAGGTAGTGCAGCTCATCCAGGATGGCACATCAATGCGAGCTGTGGCAAGAAGGTTTGCTGTGTCTGTCAGCGTAGTGTCCAGAGCATGGAAGCGCTAGCAGGAGACAAGCCAGTACATCAGGAGGCATGGAGGAGGCCGTAGGAAGGCAAAAACCTTGCACCAGGACTACTACCTCTGCCTTTGTGCAAGGAGGGACAGGAGGAGCACTGCCAGAGCCCTGCAAAATCACTTCCAGGGGGCCACAAATGTGCATGTGGCTGCTCAAACAGCCAGAAACAGACTCCATGAGGGTGGTATGAGGGCCCCCACAGGTGGGGGTTGTGCTTACAGCCCAACACTGTGCAGACGTTTGGCATTTGCCAGAGAACACCAAGATTGGCAAATTCGCCACTGGCACCCTGTGCTCTTCACAGAATAAAGCAAGTTCACTCTGAGCACATGTGACAGACGTGACAGGGTCTGGAGATGCTGTGGAGAATGTTCTACTGCCTGCAACTTCCTCCAGCATGACCAGTTTGGCAGTGGGTCAGTAATGGTGTGGGGTGGCATTTCTTTAGGGGTCCGCACAGCCCTCCATGTGCTCGCCAGAGGTAGCCTGATTGCCATTAGGTACCAAGATGAGATCCTCAAACTCCTTGTGAGACCATATGCTTGTGTGGTTGGCCCTGGGTTCCACCTAATGCATGACAATGCTAGAACTTATGTGGCTGGAGTGTGTCAGCAATTCCTGCAAGATGAAGGCATTGATGCTAAGACCTGGTGCCTTTTTTAGTGGTAAAAAAATAATAAGACAGGGTCTTATTTTCGGGAAAACACAATATTAGTCTTCATGCTATTCTCTATGTTAGTTTTCACTATGAATTTTTATTTTGTATTCAGAAAATATTACAATGTTGAAATATTAAAAATATGCATATTATATTTAAATATCCTGTATATTCATTTTTCTACCACTGCTTCTACTCTCAGTACAAATGGTACAGCCAAACCTTGCCTTAATATAGCTATATAACCTTGCTGTAGTTGTGCATTGTTTTCTTAGTAACATGGAAGCCATGTTCTTATCTTCATATTTTCACAATGAATGCTCTCCCAGCTCAGACTTCTGTGGCAGAGTTACAGCCCTTGATTCAGAGAACTGACAGTGATTTTAATATTAAAGGATATATGGTAATTTTAATATATAGTGAAGTCGTTGGTAACAAGGTAGAAAGTGGATGAAGAGATGGAATGGCTGGCTGGGTAATTGCTTGTTTCTTCTTTGTGCCTTAACCATTAAGCAAGTAGAAACTGCAGATGGTGATAGACAGGAGAAAAGTTTGATTAATTATTTAATTAATAATTAAAATAAGGAAAGCCATTCTCTGCATCCAGGTGGAAGAAACAGTGTAGCAGGTTGGAGGAGCAGATCTAACTTTGAAATCTAAAGCCATTAAAATTAATGTTGGAAGCATGATAAAACGGAGCATGATACTAACAATGGATCCTTATGGATTATTCTATTAATGTTCTGGTACTTCAGGACGGGGAACAATCACTGACTGACAGGGCTAAAACCTTGGATATAAAATAATAATATTGCACTACCCTAAATATGGAATTACGATTTACATCATGGATGATATTAACAGTTATAATGCCCTTTCTCCAATTATTAATTCAACTACCAACCAGAATGTTTTCTCTGTATCCATAGAATTACAGAATATTACCATCATGGATATTTACAAGCTTCCAAAGGACAGTTGGCCAGATTTTGTCTTATCAGTGCCTGCGGGAGACAGTATAATCCTTGATGATTTCAATATTCACCACACATCTTGAGACTGTAACCAATGTGATGAAAATGAGAGTAGATTATTCAATTGGATGGAAATAAACAATCTTACTCTTAAATATGATAATAAAGATAGGAGCACATTTCATTCTGCTTGTTGGCAAAAGGATTATTCCCCAGATCTTTGTTTTGTTTCCTCTGGAATAGTAAAAATCGTAATCTCAAATCCAGAGATAGGTTTTGAACAATTTCCCACGCAGTCAGCGTAGCCCTATAATCTACAGAATAGAACTCCCAATCCCAGCAACTAGGTCCATTCCTAAACCTCATTGGAACTTCCAGAAAGCAGTTTGGAATACTTAGGCCAAGCACCTACAGATGGATCAAAGCAGTCCCAAAGAATTGCAACACCTTTGTTGACTTAATTAAATCTGCAGCTAAAAGAAACATCCCCAGAGGCTACTGTAACGATTACATCCCTAGATGGAGTGAGGAGACAAGTCGCTTGTGTGCCGAGTTTGAATACTACATTAATCCAGAAAAAGCAACTGAATTGCTGAAGTCCCTGGACAGAGCCAGAAAATGTCCAGGATTGTGGAAAAGATAAACTTTACCCACTCTAGCAGGAAAGGCTGGTTTCTTTTATTTGAAAATTGGATTCATCATCCATATTGCTGAGAAAGCATTCTATTATCAATATGGAATCCATAGCTAACCATCTTGTCTCTACTTCAAGGACAACAAGATATAAGAAATTTGCCAGACCAATTAGATCTGAAGTTAGACTGTTGAAGCACTGATATATAGAGCATTGCTTTATTTATACTCATGCCCATTTACACCAGAAGAAGCACAGAGGGAGATGGTTCTTTAGAAAATGGTAAAACTGCAGGATTTGATGGCATGTACTCAACTACTGAAGAACTCTGAACCAGCAATTAAATGTTGGCTTGCTTCCTTTTTTAGTTTCATACTATACTCAAGATGGCTGCCTCCTTTATTCAAGAACAACATTATTGCAATTTGGAAACTAGAGAAGAATCCAAACCTTTCCCAAAGTTACAGGCCAATTACTCTTTTCTATGTTACCTACACACTTCTAAAAAGACTTGTGTTAAACAGAATAGCCCTAGCAGTAGAATCTGTAACCCAGGTAGAACAAGCTGAATTTCACCCCAAATGTGAAATAATAATAATAATAATAATAATAATAATAATAATAATAATAATAATAATAATAGTAATATTAGTAATAATAGTAATAATATCATCATCATCAAGGGAATGTTAAAATGAAAATCTTATTGTGCACTCATTGCTTTGATTATTTACACATATCTGTTGAGCCAAATATATTGGCTGTAAAGCAAAGCACCTCATCTTGAACAAAATTTTCAGTTTGCTATTAGAAAATATTTGTAGAATCTCAGGAACATGATTTCTCTACGTTAGGGAAAGTTAAACCTTTTCATGTAGTAGAGATGGTTTTGATGTGGTTCTAAAAGAGTTAACTCTTTTTAGTGCATATATTGGTTGTTCATGAAAACAAGATCTAAAAATATAGTAGCATCTTTCATTGTTTTTATTTCAATGTCTAACCTGTATTAATATCTTATTAAGATAAGTAAAAATAAGAGTTAAACTTATTTGGTTTTTAAAGGCTCATGTAAAGAGGAAATTTAGTAAAGAACTCACAACCACACTCATGGGTCCAGAAACCATATTATTAACATTTATCCTAGCACTAGGTCATGCACTATCCTAATCTAATGACTAATGTTAGGACTTTCTTGATAGACATACACAGAGCAGAATAGCATTCCTTTTACTATTTTGCCAGGAAGCATGCATCAATAAACTGTAGAAGATACGTTGAACCCCTTGTTTTAAAACCATGCATGAATGGATTTCTATCCTATTTGTTCTCTCTTTTTAAAAACATCCTTCTCCCAAGAACATTTAGATCATAAATGTATATATCTGGCAACCATCTCAATTTCTAGGAAATTTAGAGTAAAATCTTACACTTGCTTATGCAGTTTTTAACCATTATTAATGAGATTTAATAGTTATTGCTATACATACACAACATTCGTTCTAAATCTCCAGCAAGCATGCAAAATATTTATGCTTAAAAATCTTAGGACAGAAATGAAAGATAACTTAATGTGATGAAAATGTGTGAGGTTGTGCCTTAAAAACATACACTAATGTGTGCTCATACTCCCAAGATCTTCCTTTTCAGAATCATAGATAGATTTAGCATATAGCCGTAGCTAAATACAGCATATGTGCACAGATCCCATCAAGGAAAAGAAAATGTATAGTGTTAGTAAATTACCTTTGATATAGGTAATGTCCATCCTTCAAAAACTGGAAAAGAATCTCTGCAAAACGTGGGAATGCTTTCTATGTAATCAAATCTGTCTGTCCAAATTGTGCAGATAATATGTAAATATATAAATGTCAAATATATTGTACAATCAGTTGTTCTCCAGAGTTATACTTAAGGTCACATCTGTTCTGCGCATTAAAAGTGCTTATAAACCATTTTTATATCAATGTGCTATTTGACTAAAGGATTATATGCTGAAGAACGTTGCATCTCTATCATCATTTATATTTCTTTATATTTTATTTTATATTTCCATTTTTAATTTATTATGAATTTTTCATACAATCAATTGTTCGGCCTACTTAACTTCCTCTGAATCCTCTGTGAATCACTGTCATTTAAAAAAGAATTGTCAGGGTTGATAACATGCCCTCTATTATGAACTCTGGTGAGTGTAAATATGGTACAAACATTCTCAAAATATACACAGGATAAGTTCACATCACTAATTTATTACAATGGTAGAGAAGACTATAGCTGGCTCTGTAATTATTATTATTCTATCGGTCTCTTCCTTGAAAACACATTTATTCAGGTTCACTGGCAAGAACTTGGCAGGAATTCCCAGATACTCAAATCATCATGGGCTTTAGGTTTGAATTCAGCTTAAAGCTCTTGATTATACCACTAGGTATATATCAAAATAAGAATATTTATTGCATATTAGAAATAAGACCCTAAAATAATAAAGCATTACCTTCTATGAATGTGTACTATATGTACTTTCATTTCTGTACTATAGTTTAATTCCAATGCTGCTTTCTCCTTTTCTTGTCATGGATCAAAAACTTTGGTCTATAGTTTAATCCCTGCAGAATCTTGACAATGATATAAGATGACAATACAAAATCAGCGCTAAGTTCTGCCAACATTCATATAGCTCATGCTTTACTAGAAGCAGAAGTCTTCTCAGTATTCAGATAATCAAAATGCAACCAAGCTTTATTGGTCCTGTGGATGCTGTAGAAAAGTTAACTAAATATGATTAACACAAAAACTATATTGCTATACTTATTAATAATGATATAGCAGCATATTTTAGCTCAGGGTTGAAATGAGTGGTCTCTGAGCTTAGTTCTTTTCTTGCAGACATTTCATTATCCAAACTAGGTAACATCATCAGTGCACTTATTAAAAAGCTATAATCGTGGCCTTAAATTCAATGCAATTAAAAATAACTCAGTAATTACTCACAGCATACACTTTACTTTTTCATTAAGCAGTATTCTTGCACCATGGATATTCATTGTTTCATATTCATTGTGATGAAATGAGCAAAAGGAATTGTGTATTATTTCCATAGCTGTGAATAAAACGTAGAGTCCTATAAATTAAGCCCAGCTCTTGGGCATATATTCATAGACATGTAGTTTCCTTATTATTTGTCATTGCGTTCTTCTGGGGTGCCCGTTGAACTGCCCAAACTAACCTGTCACCCTGGATTTTCTGGTGGTTTCCCATCCAAGTATTTTTAAGTTTAACCCTGCTTGAGATTATTTACTTAGCAGGGAAATTGTTAGGATAGCCATCTATATTCCCAAGGCGAAGTCTAGCCAATCTTTCCAAATTGGTCAAAGTGGATGAAAATGTGAAATATTGTAAACATGCATCTTTTATGTGTTTCATAATCCTTTGGGGATGTATTTATTTGTTAAATTTAAATAGCTGCTCATTTCACATATGTGGCTTTGGGTGACAGTGAAAACTAACAAAAAGGAAAACGCCTACAATAACTTGTCAAAATGTGGGAGAATGCCAATCAGTAGCCTAGTACCAGAACAATCATCTCACAAGCTCTGTACCTTCATGGGATCCCAGGTCTGATAGTAAAGCCATGTTTCAGAGTCTTCCAAAAGGCCAGTAGAGTCAGGGATGATCTTACCTCTGGTTCCAGTGTAGAAAAGGGCCTCCTCCTGGGTCACATCAGATAAAACTCATTAGTAAGCCGGACCCAAAATGTGCTTCTTGACCTGATGAGTTAGGTAAATGTAACCAGTCAGAAGCAGTTCTTCAAATAACTCAGCCCCATGGGTCTTTATAGGTCATAAAAGCACCTTGATTTGAACCCAAAAGCAATCTGATAAACAGTTCAGAGAGCAGAGGTGTAATGTCTGTCCATCTCAGAGCATATGTAACTGTCTGAATTTTGCAGCTTCCAGATGCTGTTCAAGTCAGCCCAAGATACAGTATATTATAATAGTCTTCCCATGGAAAGCATAAGTGAGTGAGAGTAGAACCTCACAATTCAGGAACAATGGTCATCCTAGACATGACTGTCACCTGCTCCTTTAACAGGAATAGTAAGTTGAGAAGGTTGATCAGATTTTGAACAGGATCTGGGGCAGAGCTACCCTGTCCAGTGCTAAAGACAATTAAATTGCTGGATCCTGAAAGTCCAAAATCTAAAACCAACGCTGGAGTCTTGCCAGGGTTGAGTCAAATCCTGTCATTTCCTTATCCAAATCTCACAGCCTTCAGGCAGGACATTAACATCATTGTTTAATTTCACCAGGATGGAAATATACACATGGGTATCATTAGAGTATTAATGACATCTCACATTAGCAACTAAGGACCTCACCCAGAAGGTTTCCATTGATGTTAAACAGAAAGAGAGTACAGTATCCTGCTAGCAGTGCTCTGTGAGATCCTACATAGTAGGAACTGAAGGTAAAATGTCTCAGTCCCAATCAACAAACGTGGACCTGTCTACCGAGAAAGGAAAATAACCGGCATAATACTACTCCAGCCACCCATCTCACAGCTGTTCTAGAAGAACAGCAGAGGTGATGGTATTGAAAACTGCCAAGAGATCAAATAGACGTAGAGGATAGTAATTTGCATTAGACTTCTAATAGCTAAGTAGAAGTCAATCTAGAAGTCAAGAGTAGAAATTAGTGAATCATATTTTCCTTCCTATTATGATTAATTTCTGAAATGTGGCTAAGAATTATATTTTATGATGCTGCATGATGGCTTACAAAATAGTGCAAGTAAGCTCTTATACAGTGCCTAGGTAGTGATAACTGTATTTCCAGTACTATCTTAATCACATCTGATTGGGAGATGGAGGAAAGGGAAGTTCTTTAAACCAGTGGGCACCAACCAGTGGGCCAGGGACCACTGGTGGTCTGCAAGAAGATTTTGGTGGTCTATAGAGAAATGTCACCCCCAAAGCAATTAATCCAGGCTGCACGTGAACACAAGGCTTGTGTCGCTTGCATTGTGAACAACATGAGATGGTGATGGGAGGGGGAAAGGGCGGAGGGGCAAAACTTGCCCCATGCGCCTCACCTGGCCACCAGGCTGCTTTTTTCCTCTTCTTTCTTCTGGTTTTGGCTGCATGCAAGGAAAGCAGCAAAAGTCTTCCTTTCTCTCCCCCAAACTCCACCAGATATGAGTCTTTGGGACCCTGCAAAGCATCCTGCTCCAAGAGGCTGCACTGGTGCAACAAGTCTCACAAAAACTCATTTCTGGCAGAATTTGGGGGAGAGAAAGAAAGACTTCTGCTGCTTCTGCTGCTTTCCTTGCATGAAGCCAAAGGTCTCTCTTTCCTCCCACTCCCCCAAGAACGGAGCTGGAGATGGTATCCTGCAATTCCAAATAAAGAATGATCGATCGGTAGGAAAAAGGGGTGGAGAATATTCTTGCAGACTGTTTTTGGAATTTTCCCAGGCTCTCTGGTCCACGGGATTTAAAATTATGAGTTTGGTGGTCCCTGAGGTCCAAAAGGTTGGCAATTCCTGCTTTAAACTGCCTGCAGAGCAATGTGACTGGCAGAAAATCTCTTGTGAATGAGCCAATCTTCTCTTAAAGCTTTGCTGTTGTGTTCAGCAAAAAAAAATCTGATCCATGCTACTCAAGCACAACTATCAATAATCCGTAGAATGTATAAGAGAAAAGAACTATTGTTTTAAATCACAAAGTGGACCTTGTTAGTACACACATTTTGCATTGGGATGCAGGACAAACAGGCAGAGGAAAAGAAGTGACAACTAAGCTTTTGCTGTAGTTGTTGATGCAGTTAAACTCTTAACTGTTTATTGTATATTTGATTTGTTTACAATATCAGTGTAGAGCAGTGGTGGTGAAAAATTGGGGCTCAGTGTGTCAAAAATTTAGGAAACCTCTTAATTTTATTCTGTTGGCATGTCACGCCCACACTCCACAAAAAGAAGACAAACAATTCTTTACATATTCAGTATTAAACAAATACAGTCCAATTATGTGTATGATCCCCAGGATCTGCCATACACTACTTACCTTCAGGCTGTGTTCTGCTGACAGGCCTCTGCAGCCTACCCAAGGCAACTTCAGATTGCACGAGGCCTTCATTCTCGCAGCAGCTTTGAAGAATGATCTTCCGTGGTGTCTGCAGCCTCCAAAAACTGCAAAAGCCTACCCCATCCTCGCATGATTTTCAGATGCTCCAGAGGCCATGTAAAAGCACAATCCATTCCCACATGGTCTTCACAGCCTCTGAAAATCATGCAAGAACCAGCTATGCTTTCAAGAATAAAAGTTGTCAGGTATTGGTGAATGCTTATGTGTTACACAAAATGGTGTGTCATTTTGTTATATATGCCATAGGTTTGCCATCACTAGTGTAGGGTCTACAATGTAGAAAATTGCATATCAACATAAGTTGTTTTCCCCTTTAATGTTTCAGAAGATCCTCAAAAATACAATTTTGCTGTATTCCAATACCAATATCCTATTAACTGGTGTGTGCATGATGCCAATAATACATGTCTTTCATACTTGGCAATAAGTTATCGATTATGTAATTTTTATTTATTTATTTTTATTTATTTTGGGGGAAATCTCCTGAAACACTGAAAGGGAAAACAACCCATACAGATGCGTATTTTTCTACATTGTAGCAGCATGACTCATTATCCTGGGACTAGAGCTAAGTCTAAGAAATCCCAAAATATAGAACCAGTGTCTTTGTATTACTGTGTGACCTGAGTAGACATCTTTATGGTCATAGAAATATACCATAAAAGTCTTGTTCAAATATCAAGAATTTACAAAGACATCTCAAATATGTTTTGTCTTTAAATTAGTACTGTTGGGGCATTCAAATCAATTCCTTTATTGTTTTAAGGCTTTAATTGTACATTTTTGACACACATATATGATTAATTATTGTATTTATTTAAATAGTCCAACAATAAGAGGAAAATAAAACCAGCCATTTCAGAAAATCAATTAAACTATGACAAAGGCAATTACTTTCCTTTCTCTAGTCTTGATAATGAAATAAGACAGCAAAGAACAACGTAAGATGGACATTCCAAAGGCTTGAATTTTAGCTAACTAGAGCATGGCATCAAAAAAACAAAAAATGATTGCTGTCAAATATGATGGCAATCAAGCAGTCATTTTTACGCTCAGTTTGCGCTAATGAATTGTTCTGGCATTTACTTTGATATATTTATGGCCATGAACTTTTCATGAATTATGAATGTGATTGTTTTTTATTCTCTTGGATTGTTTGTACACAGCTCAAAGTTATTATTACTTTACATCCATCTGGAAAACTTTGCCTATAGAATTTAAAACAATAATAAATGATCATGGGTGTTATAAGACTAAATACTGGCCTTGGATTGCTTTTTGCTATATAGTTCTTGATTCTTTGAACCTCATGAGGTATCAGATTAGTTTTCTTATACATATTAAGATCTGCTAAAGTTGTCTATAATCGTACTATCCAGCCATAAAATTTTATATGCTGGACAAAATAGTTTTTAAAGGAAACTAGAGTATTGCTTCAGGAAAAAAAATTGTTCTGGAACATGTCTAAAAAGCTGGGTAAAGGACTTGATCTGCAGGAAATCCTATGTATTATATGATCTTAAAAACTTAATGAGGAAGTGAAATATGTTAGAATTTGAAAATCATAAGGCAAATCATTGGTGCATGGGTGTAAACCAATTTTATATAACAACTCAATCAGTTTTGAATCCTAATCAGAATCCTGAATGAAAATTGACAGCTTTGAACCTTCTAATCGCTGAGATGTATGTTCTAAAAGCATTTATTAGTCCTCAACTGTATCTTTATAACCTAGTCCCGAAATGTGGGTTTGTTTCTGCCTTCCTTTTTTATTCTCAGAAGAATTTTGTGTGATATAAATTAGGATTAGAGAAGGCCTTCCAATGAGTTTTATAGCTACATTTGAATCTTTATTTGCCAGCTCTTCAGTTAACTTTTTAACCACTATGCCACATGGAAAATATATATTTAAGTCATTGTTCTGATTTACAGCATTCATCTTCATGTAAGCTAATTGCAAATCTGAGTCATATAAACATTAGAAAATTATTGTTGATGGTACTTTCTGTAATCTAGCCTTTTGTAATCTCAAAATAGCTCTTCAAGCAATTAAAAAAATTATAAAAGGAATTATGAACGAATTTGCTAGAACAGCTAATATCAGCAAAATCAACTGGTGTTTACAACTTTGGCTTTCTCCTTTGAATCTTTTGATCATTAAGTCAATGATCTATGGTTAAAGAGCTGCAATTCTAGGAAGAAGCATTTATTTGGTCATGGCAGGAAAACACAGGGCATATTAAAGTGGTCTATTACTAGAAGTACTTTAATAGTTGCAAGCAGTAGTGATGCCAACATCATTTCTTCCAAGGTGAGGAATGCCAAACAACCAATAGCCATTATCTTAACCCCAATACCATTTGATGAATCAATCTAAAATTAATTGCACTTGTGAATTCAAGTAGAACTTATCCATAACTAATTTCACACTATTTTTAGTAGAATTTAAGTTTGACCAAGTTTGCAATAACTTCATGGATTTCAACAATCATACAATCATACACACACACACACAAAAATAATAATAATAATCCCATTCAATAATTTATTAGAAGATTTCTAAATTATTATTCACAATTACTGTCCACAAATATTATTGGTAATATGCAAAAACAATAAAATATGTAAACATAATAAGTATACACAATATAATATTACAACATTTAAAATTATTTTAAGTTTCTATATCATACTAATCCTTGGCTTGCTCAATCGTGTCATATGAATAAAACACAACTGCTTATTTTGTTGCAAAGCCAAACCAATTATAAACAGGTCCAATGATTGATAATGGGCTACTATTCTAAATTTCTATGCTATTCTAAGACCCCTAGAAAAATAAAGTACAAAACTCTTTTCTCAACATTAAACAATTTACTTGTTAAAACCCAAGAAGAGAACATCTGTAGCTCAAAGTTGAACTATGGAGACTTGGTGCTCTTGGAGCTTGGTTTTTTTGCCATCATTTCATTGATCAAGTAGGTAACATCTTTAGGTGTTACTAGCTGGGTAATGAAACATCTGCAGGAAAGCAACCCATCTCAGAGAATATCAGGGATTCCACAATTTACTTACTCTTCTTTAAAGTGAACATAACAACAGATTTAGTCAAACAGTTTATGTCAAACTAAGGACTATTAATGTGTGGTGACCAAACAGTGAAGAGCCAAACAAGCATAAAACCAAGAATCTGAATTCTGCTGTAATCTGTGCAACTCTGTATTTTTGCATCTGATTAATTTTAATTAAGCTAATGCTGAATGTTATTTAAAATAAGCAAAGTGTAATTGACTAAATATTTACATTGTTTAATTAGTTTTACAAAAGTAAAGAAATCCCAAGGTAGCAATAATTAGGGCAGCAGGCTTTAAAATATTTTTAAATATGTTGATAGGCCAGACTCAGCCTGATTTCTGGCTCTGCTGTCACTACAGGAAACAAGTAGACTGTTCATGTGTGATTAAGATAATAATCAATAGTTATATGTAGCTTTCAGATGTTCAAGGCATTTGAGATATATCCATTAAAGTTTCTATATGATATGTGTATATTTGTATGTATAAGGTGTGCGTATGTGTATGTATCTTTTAGGTACTCATATCTCACATCATGGAAATATTTAAAAGTTAGAAAACACTCTGTTATTGAATTGAGAAATGAACTGGGAATTCAGCCAAGGCAGTCTATCCATCATGTGCTGCAGTGGACTAACCTGTAAACTATCAGAGCATGGAGAACTGAAGCCAGGTCATCCACAGACCCTAGTGATAAACTACTCTAAAATACCTGACCATTCCCCAAGTACGTTCCAGCAACACATTGTTTCTGGTGTGATCCATTATGTTACCTTGTTTGCCAATATTAAAATAACATTTTCCCATATTCTGGTACTGTTCACAACTCAAGACATATACAAATTCATATCCTTTGCCTTCGTTACATCATTTGAAGAAAAGTGAGGTGAGTGACAGTAACAGGGAACAGAGGCGGGAAAGGCAGGGTAGGATCAATAGTAGGGACAGCAATTTAATACTGGCAGAGTTTTTCACTGATAAGTTAACATAGGCAAACGTTGGTCAACATACAAGGAACAGTATGTGGTCTGTCACAAGAAATGAATGTTTCTCAAAAGAAGTAAAAATGGCCATGAATGAAAACATGCTTCTGTCCACTTCGTTGCATATGTGTGACCAGCTGTAGTGGGAGTGAGTTACTAAAGAAGAGAGTGCTGAATAGAAGAGAGTCATGTGTGAATTGGTTCTGAATAAACATGGACTGAATACAAAAGCAAATGACCAGGATGAAAGATATGTGTTGAGATAGTTTGATTATATAAAGCAAGGAAATAATAAAACAAATATGTAACAGAACTGAAAATGAAGTGAGAGGAAGGGGAGTTTGAAGAAGTTGTGGTTCAACATAATTGATGTGGTCCTTCCCTGTCCTTTCAAACAGTGAGAAGTTTAAAAAAACAACGAACAGTATATGAAGCAGTGAATTGACATAGCAATAGCAATAACATTTAGGCTTATATACAGTACTAACCCGATAGTGCTTTATATACTCTCTAATCTAGGCAGTTTATAAGGTCAAAGCATTATTTACATATTGCCCTCAACAATCTAGGCCCTCATTTTACCAACCTTGGAAGGTTGAGTCAACCTTTAGCCATGTCATAATTAAACTCCAGGCTATGGGCAGAGTTTGCATGCAATGTTGGACTTTAACTACTGCATCACAGAGCACATGATAGAAACAAGAATAGTTTGCAAGGATAAAGAGTCATGAGAGGTTTATTGGATGGCAAACGAGATTTAACTATTTTTTTTTCTTTTTGCCTCAAAGCCCTAACTTCTTGCTCCTTTGCTGAACTGAATAGACATTTGCTTACTATGAAAGGGAATAATACGATGGATTAT